ACAAAATTCCAAATAAAGCCTTCAAATTTTCAATATCTTTCCCATTCCTTCTTTTTCTTCCAAATTAGATTAAGAAGGGGTGGTTTTTATCTTGGACTTACGTTCAAGTTTGCTGTATTTGATAATTTTTTAGGATTACTGAGCTGAAAGTTACTGAAGTTCTTTACCTATATGCAAATCTACATTTTAACTTGTCAGCTAAAGATGAGACATGCATGTCTATCATAACTTTCATATTTCAAGAATTGCTAAAATTATATTGTTCAAACTCTCAGAAAAATTTGCCATTTAGAAATCTTTCTCTTACACAGAAAAACTGAAGTTAAAGAGAAGAAACAGTTACACTGTGGCTCACCAGCAGTGTGTGTGTGTCTCTCCAATAGCAGAAGATTTTAGCCAAGTCCAATGTGACATAAATTTGGAAGCAGAGCCAGACAGATAGCAAGTTTATCACTAAGTTGCACTTTTTGAATGCTGGTTAAAGTTAAATGACACAGTCATAAAATAAAAATTACCATTAGAAACACATTAACAGTGTGAGATTAGTTCAGTGGAATAAAGTGGGTCTTGAAAACAGAATTTTAAAAATGAATTTTTTTAACCGTTATGAATGAAAACACTAACCAACCCTGAGATCTAATTAGCATGACCCATTTCCCAGTCCTTGGAATCCATAGTCAGATCTGCAAACTTCATGTGCATTAAGTAGCTTATGCAATTAGTCTTTATCTCTCCAAATTGCACAGACATGAACTTTGCCTCGATAACACTGGGCTACTTCAGTCAGACAAAACAAATGATTGCTGTGCATCATGTTAATATCTTAAAGACATTTGGATATTCAGTTGTTACTATTAAACATAAATACACAGACTCATTTGTCCTTCAAACTGTAGAAAAGTTAAGTAGAAAAGCAGTAACAGCATAGAGAGGAGAAAATTTGTGAACTCTATCTTCTGCATGAGTTCTGCTTACCTGCTGTTGCATGATGCCTCTTTCAGGCTGGAGAATCTCATTCCATCTCCAGATTTCTTTTGACTTTGGGACAACAAGAGTATTAACATCACATACGTTCATGCTTCCAGAACCCGATTCAATCTTGTCAGAGAAACAAAAGCTTGATTTGGGGTTAATTTAGCACATGTTCAGAATCACCTGTTTTAACAGATCTTTTATAAAACAGAGCAGACATGCTCTAAAGTAGGAAAACAGTGGGCTCAAAAATCAATAATAAGGATGCTGGTTTGTGTTTTTCATACAAACTAAGTGGGATATAACTAGCTTGCCTAACTTCTCACTCATGTGACTTCATATACGTGTTTGTCATCTGTGACCATCACCATTGCTGGCTCTTACCTGCACTTCTCACACATTCTTTCTCCAAGCATATTTTTAAATCGTCTCAGTCCCTTTTATCAGCAAAGAATTAGGAAACAAAAATTATATTGTCCTTCTGCTGAAAACAGTCCATTCTAAAATCTACATGAAGCCTATTTTAGCAAAATACAAGTGACTCACAAAGTAAAGGTTTCCAGAGTATAGTCCTTGGTCAAACAGCCTGATGTCCTTTACGATGAATTTACTGATACAAAGGCCCTAAAGCACTACACTGTGTTCTTTCAACAGCTGAACTTTCTTCTTGAGATAAACTTGAAATTCCCATGAGATCTGGTGTTTAATTCTATTGCAGTAAATTCCCTTTCATTTCACATAAAAGGAAGACAGGAAAGCAACAGCTCTCTTTGGCTAAGACTGTTCTGTAGACTACTCAACACTCAGCTATTTTCCAGGCTGTGGTCTCCTGAAAATCCAAGAGAAGCTCTTTTTTGAGAAGAGAAAAAAAGAAACACACGGGACAAAAAGCTTGATCATAGCTATGTTTGCAATCCTGAGTTACTTTTTGAGTATGCATATGCAGGAAAGGCAGTAGAAAAAACAAGAAGTAACTGCACATCCTCAGTACAGACTGCCAAGCTGTAACAAAAAACAGACTATTAGCTTTTCTACCCCATCTTAATGTTTCTCAGAACCACCTATTACACAGTATCACCAGTATCACTTGACACTGTCCTTTCCACATTAGTATGACTTATCTTTAACTACGTACCACGGAAACCTTTATTTCCCTCCAGTTTTTACACTGCCACTGTATTGCTTAGAGACAGTCCTCATCCTGACTGCTTAGACCAACAACAGCACATGTCCTCTGAGTAGCCACCTGGCTGCTACCTCTCACTTCCAGGTGATCTAAAATAGATGGTTTAAGAGGCTGTGGTTGGCCTCAGCAGCATAGGCTGTTCTGTAGGGGGAAACAGGATCTATTTAAGAAAAGAAGCTTAAACTTCATCATTTATGTGCCTCTACTTCACATCAGCTGATTAGGGTGAGTGATAATTCCTAAAGTTCCTTTACTGCCTCCTACTAACACATATTAACATCATGTCAAGGCCAAAGTAATGGCTTGTTTCCAAAAAGTATTATACAGCCAGACACTGTAAGAGGATATGTGCTTTATGCTAACACATCTACCTGATTAAAGAAGTGCAGAGCGGCATTGTTTCTTTTTCCTCCTCACATATTTCCATGTACTGCAGCATGTATGAATGGATTGTCCTTGAGACAAGCGTGCTGCTTATCTAAAGAGGAAAGCCTGATGTCAGGAGTTCAGGGCACTTGACATATCTTAAAATTAAGCTTCAGCAAACAGAATTTAAAAAGCCATGTTTAACTCTAGGGCTATATTTACATGTTGCAAGACAATTTGTTTCCCTTCTGTAACTAATTTAAAAACTCATGCATGCCATTGTGATGGGTGTGAAGTTTATGATTAATATGTATTAATCAGCAGTTAACCACAAACAAAACTGATGTTCCCAAGGGGAACACTATGGATTACATGGAGTTGGACAGCCTTTCTGAGTCTTTCCAAGTATCTTTGGAAAAGACAAAGGCTGTAGTCTGTGGGGCCCAAATACATCTACATACCCAACCGAGGACTGTGTCATGGCCATGCTCATTGGCCAGCCCAGTTGTCAACTGCCTCAATTAGCCCCACATGCAACAAAAGCTAGAGTAAAGAGCTATCATACTTTATTCTTCCTGCCATCCTCACTTTTAGCCCAGTTTATTTCACTGGCAACCTGCTTTTGCCAGAAGGCTATTTCGAATTCCTCTGCTCCTTAATAGTGAAGGCAGGCTGAGATTTAGGATTGTTTGTAGATCCATCAACATAAGCTGAGAACTAGATTGCAACAGATGGTCTTGTGCATGGGAAGCTGCTATGATATTGTTGCTGCTTGGTGGGGACAGACAATTCTACTTCACTTGTGCTGGTCACTAAACAGAGGGATGATCGCATGATCTAGTTTTCAGTTCACAGGACATAGAATTGGTATGACCTAATTTTAGAAAGACATAGTCTAATAACATGAAATATAAGGATTAAAATATGGAAGGTAGGGCTGACAGCCACTTAAATATGAGTAAGAATAAGCCAGAATAGTGAAATCCTTTAAATTACACAAAAGCTTATCATATGATTAATTTTGACATCAGTGGAAGTAATAAGCAAACTATGACACTTAAAAGCCTTCCAAACAGAAACAAATATAAAACACTTATTGCACATAAACATGTACTTAAATGTTTGTTGAATCATAGATGCTATTCTTTATTTTTTTAAAAATGAAATTATATAATGAAACACACACACACACACACGAAAGTGAGTTTACTGAGGCTGCTATCCCAACCAAATTCTGACTTGATTAAGTACATATCTCCTCTCTTCTGGCTTCAGCAAGTCTTTCTAAACTTCTTGTATCTGTGCAGTATTGCATACTTAGTCTGTCTGCTCTCATCTTGAAGATAGCTTCCTTGTCATGGTAGATGAAATGATCAGTAGGCACAAGTTGATTCTTCAAAAAATAGCGAATAGCTGACCCAGCCAATTATGCATATGGCAAAATCAGTATCTGCAGCAGTCCATGTGCATTTCTTTGCATTTAGGTACATTGAAAATGAAGACAGGATGTATTTCTCCTCAGTAACTTGATTATGTCCCGGGGAGTGTCATTTAAGTGAAAAGTTTACAAACCCCTCTAAGCTCACAGTAACAATCTGGAGAACCACAGCCTTGACTGAAGTTGTTTAACCCAGCCAACTCTCAGCAAACTAAAAGACATTGAAAAAAAAAAAAAAATTAAGGGTAGGCCATATTAGAAATAGGTTAAATGAGCAACAGAGCAGAATTATCCACAAGATAGGAATTATGATGATAGTATCTGGTAACACACTAAGCATTCTGATCTTGGAGGGGCCTATACCAGTAGGCTTATGAAGGCTTAAGAAGGCTAATGTGCAATTGTAGTGTGGATAATCACTTCCTTGTCATGTCTAATAAAATGTTCTCAAAAATGAATGATGGACAAAATACATGTGTGTATTGTGTTCTGGAACGACAATAAATTTCTTATATTCTGCCTTCTTGAAGCCTTGAAATGAAATTTTAGTAGGGTTTGGACCTCACACTGTATTTTTTCCCCCAGAAGGTATTTTCAGTTTAAGTTTCTACTTGGTTTGACTGTCAGCTATTTTTCGGGGGGGGCGGGGGGGTGAGGGGGTGGGGACGGGGAGGGCAGGGGAATGGGGTGAAGCAGCTCTGGGTTAATGCATTGAAATCTGCTGTAGGTGAAACATGGCAAAAGATCTTGAATGTAAAGGACTTTCTCTGTGAAATATACACCAGTCGAAGGCTAAAAGGTCTTCCTAAGTAAATTAAATCAATGTAGGATCAACCCATATCCCATTTCTAAAATGATGCTGAACATTTGCTTCTCTATACTCTGTAAAAGTCATTCTGGGTGTTAGCATCTTGGCAAAACTACAGGACTTTCAAATGCTACATTGTCACAGGTTATATTTAGTCAAGTAGTAAATAAGATTTCCTTTTATTTGCAATTCTGTTTATGTAGCTGAGTGCTGCCTTTCCTTTTATTTCTCTTTGTGTGTGTGTGTGTTTTTCTTTGTATTTTTTCCTCATGTTTTCTTTTAGCTTCTGAGTTTTGAGACACGCCCCCCTGAGTGATGTGGCATTTTGATCCCACTGAAGACATAATAACTCTGGGTGCAATTTAATATTGCAACAAGTTTTCAGCCTGTTTCCAATTGTCAAACATAGAGAAAAAATGTTTCCAGTAAAGCACATGAACTAATGGAATAGACCTCGGGGTTGTGGCTGGCTTTGGTCTATACTGGATTCAGCTGGTTGTTTTGTTACTGTTTAATTCATATTTCTATTACTGAGTGCTGTGATGCACCACAGCCAGCAGCTTACAAGTGGGTTAAATAAATAAGGGAAAAGATGATAGCACCCTGAGAAATTAGCAGATCTGCACTTTGAGAAGGGGATGACACTTTCTACCTACTGTACCTAGGCAGAGGACTTTTTACTTGCTCTCTCCCGCCTACTGGAGGATGCCATCATTGTTCCTATTTTGCTGACTGTGACCAACAGCAGTTCCCTGCCTCTCCAGCAGTTCCAGATAACTGTTTTGATATATTGCTGTATGGACGGGATTTGCACTGCCCTGCAGTCCGGCTGATACAAAAATGCCTTTAAGATCCTGCCTTTCCCATCCTAATCTACAAAGGAAACAGGAAAAAGGAACTTAAACTCCCTGTACTCAGACAGCAATGAGACTGTTCCAGCTTGCGCCAGTGCTACGATTTCTTGCCTGTGAGTTGTAAACAGCGTACCATGCAGGAGAAGAGTAACCGGTAACCGTCTACCTCGAGAAAAGGATTCTCCATGAGCAACTGTAAGAACTGGATGGATATATTTTGGAAAGCATGGACCCTTTAGCACATCTAGTTCTCTATGGATTCAGTCTGATGATTTCAGGTAAGCCTTTGTTTTAATATCTGTAGCCAACCTGTCAGGTCTTTATTGTTTCTCATGAGATGTGCACACAACACACATGATTCCCTACTCATTACTCCAGCAGTTTTACCTTTATTGATTAAAGTACTTGGGTTTGTGTCAGTGAGTCCACTTACCTCTGTGCAGCACTCCTAGAGGGAGTGAGGGCAGGACTGTGGCCAAGCTATTGGGGAGGATTTAGCTACCTGTAGAATCTAATGATACCTCTTTCTAATTGTTGAAGCTATTTGTTGACACCTATGCACATTACAACAGGGTTTCTCTTCTGTCTAATGGTATTAACTTTTTCATTAAGCTCATTTCTTTGAAATAATTGGTGTCTTTCCCCAAGAATATCTGCTCTAAATACAGTTTAAATCATGACTTTTTCTGTGACTGACTTTATGAACTGGCTGTGCAGTAGGAAATGTTGACATTTACAGGTGTTCCAGTATCTGATTTAGACAAGTTTTTAGACAAGATTCCACAACTGAAATCCAGATGAAAGTCAGTGGGATAAAAGGGTGGAAAAATGCACATTAGATAATATCAATTAATAACACTTCAAATACAGCTAAAGAATGAGTCGGTATTATCAGCAAATGTCATTAGTTCAGCGAGTCAGAAGTTAGTCATAAGAAACATCTGCAGAAAGGTATGCAGTAAGATTATACTAATGCAGATCTGGTTTATAGAATTCAGAGTAATAATGCTGGAGATGCTTTGCTGAAGCTATCACAAGCAGAGACCTGAGGAAGCCATCACTCTTGACATTGGATTTCTAGTTGCTCAGCATTTGAGTGTTGCTTTCACCATCCATATTTTGATTTTTCCAGTTTCTTCTGGGTAACATACCAAGCAAAATCTGTAAAAGAGAAACACAACTTACACAATAACCTTCGAGTCTTAACTCGCTCCTAATCATTTCATTAAGACATGCATACATTGTTCCAGTCCATCTCACAGTAAAAAGATAATGTGCTGTAAAAATGCAGATTGTGCTGCAATGAAAACCAGAAAGTAGGAAGAAAAGGCAGGAGTCCTCATTGCTGTGTAACTTGCTTTATAATTTCCAGATCTTCTTGATTAGCAGCATGCTAATAGCTAAGTGAAATTGCGAAGAAATGAGTTTGAGATGTTACTTTTGGGATCTATAAAAGGCTAGAGATTAATACATGCAAAAAAAGTTTTTAAAATCTGTTAAATGCATGGTTGGAAGTATTCTTATCTAACCATTGCTGTAATTGGCTGCATATTGTTTACCGATTCCTCTTCTGTGGCTTAAGTTTCTTGATTGTTTAGCTGCACATTGATTCAACCTATTTAGCCCTCAGATCACTTCCAGCTTGAGATATCTGGTGCTGCAAGCATTATGGATGGAGAAGAAAAGAAAGTCCAGTTACCCCAACTCTTTTTCCTTGTCTCTCATGTTCCTCTACATGGTAACATACACCTAATTGACACAGAAAGCAAACAACGTTCGTTAAGTCATGAGTACGGGAGAAACAGAAGTCAGCTGTAGAGATTAGCTGTAAACACGGACAGTGCAGACAGCTCAGTCCTGAAGAGCTGCCAGTCACCGCCTTTTCCACAGGGGCTGACGGCGAGGTGTGTGCTGCAGTCACACCCATCTCAATAGATCTGTCAGCTTTCCCGCTTTTGTTTGAGAATGATATCATGTTTCCTGGGGCGACCGGTGGAAGACAATGTGAGCCCGCTTTCCTCTAGATACTGCAGGCGGAGTTCAGGAAGGCAGGAATGACATTCCCTGAGCAGGGGAGGCTTTACACTCGGCACAGACAGTAAACTGGCTTAACCTTGTCCCTGGTGATCCTGGGCTTCACTGGGTGTGTTGCTGGGTAGGCACAAAATCCACTCCACCCTTTCCCAAGGTGAAGACCGTCGGCTTGGCTCCCATTACAAGAAATGGCCTTTGATTTAATGTCCTTTTTTTTTTTTTTTTTTTTTTTTTTTTTTTTCCCCTAGCCGAGTACTTCATTCTCAGCTAGAGCTAAAGATCTGATTTGGAAGTTGGTATTCAAAATATACACAGATGCTCACTTTTGCACTGTATATAGGGTCACTGCTTGCCATAACAAATGTCCAGTTAAACTGTCAAGGGGTTGAATTTAATCCTGTTGGGATTTTTGAAACTTGACTGAGCATCCCCACATGATTTTCTTTTGGTTGATTCTACTCCAGTCAACATTTTATAGAATTAAAATGATCCTGGCATCCATTCTGAAGTGTGGATCCAAGCCCCAAGGTTGTGGCTAGGTACGATCTGTTAAGCCCTGACAAAATAGTCACAGACTCACCTATTCCCTTGGAAGTCTGAGGGCAAAACAAGAAATGAGTCAAAATTTGCCTTTTGCCTCTTAGCAGAATCCTCAGATAGTCTGTAAATTTGCTTTCAGCATCTCATGGTGGGCTAACTCTCACACATATTCATGTCTGAGCATTATTTTAGCAAAATGGCCATCGTCAGTAAGAGATTTGTGGAACCCAGCGACAATTAAAAGCAGTTTCAAGAACATGTCTTTGACTATTTCTGGCAGAAAACCAATACATTGTCAAACGCCTCCATTCTCCAAGACAGACAGAATCTTCTGTGCTATAGCTTTGCTCTACCAGTAATCTTAGATCTAGTGAGTTTCTAAAAATACTGGGATTTTAAATGTTGTTTTGATTTAGCTTTTGGACCCATACATGGTAAAAGATTCAAACGATTGTATTAGCCTTTTAAGAAAGGGTAACAGTGAAGCTAGCAGTGAAGTGGTATTCAGTGGCAGCTCTCTATCATCCCTGTTGATGGCTGTTTTCTTTGAGATCAATAGGTGTTATGAAAAAAAGCATGAATTGTGTATATTATCATTATTATGTGACTCATTTACATATTTATAAAGTTAAGCAGCTTTTAACATACAATACCAGACACTCAAACACCATTATAATGCTGTAGTCTGTTCAAAATTACAAGAAGTCATAATTTTTAGTTAGACTGGAAAGTTCTAATAATTCTACTTCAAGACTTGTTTTTCTCTTGTAAAGGTTAACTTAACCTAAAGAAAACCTGTATTAACCTCTGGTTAATACATGTCTGTGACAGTGAATATGGATGTCATTCTTCCCATAATTAAAGGGACTAGGCCTGTGTGAGTAGCTTCAGATATGCTGTTGTCAGACCAAAATGCCGCCTGAACTTCAGTCTGTCCTAAAGCTGCAGTGGTGGAGGTTTGAGACTCCCACAGACAAAACAGTGGACACAAACCACATTTGAGATTTTTAATCTCAATTGTTTTGAAACTATGTTGACTAAACATTACACTGGCACACAACCTTTCAGACATATAAATTATTAAACTACTAATGTGAATTGCAAGAGAAATTTAAAAATGGATTTCATTCCTTGTTCCTGCAGCATACTTGATCTGTGAGACCCACCAATTGCATCTGCCTGACATGCTTAGGTTATTTAGCCAGACGGAACAGTATCCTGGTGCCTCTTTCATGAGTCTGAAATATACATGGAACTGAGACATCTTGAGATGTAGCCTTCATCTAATCCAGAAATGATGAGCCTGTCACAGGAATCACTGGTTGAACTTCTGACCTGATGAATGTTGGTATTTCTGTACAGTTCTGTTAGGATGATCACGACTATAAAATCGATGGATCTGTCTTATGGGAGAGAGAGAGCTGTTGTGTTTTAGTTACATTGTTGGCTATATGTCTGCAGAGAAAAAATTCCAGCTGTGACCTAATTCATCACTCTCTGACTCTGCAGCTCGAAGCCAAAATCAACAGCTTCAACCTTTGCAGGCAGCTCTGTGGACCTACTCTAAGGAGAATTGCAAAAGTGGGCTGATTCCCTCCAGTTCTTTTATTTTTTTAGCTTTAGATTTTGCTTTTGGTGTGTGTCTGGTTCAGACCTAGTGAGATGTAGAGTAGCTCTCAGGAAGCCTGTGTTCCCAAAGGTCATTTCAGCAGCTGGGAATAGTCAGGAGTGAAAAGGCATTGCATCAGACTTGGAGGAATCAAATCTAAAAGGGTGAAATAAAATCACACTACATTCACAACTGTGAACATATGCAGTTGTTTTAGATACAGATTTCATATATGTAAATATATATACTCACACACATATATTAGATTTTTGGGGTATATAGTCATAAACTGGTTGGATGGATTACTTTTTTGCTGAAAATCAATTTCAGGGAAAAAAACAAAATTGTAAAATTTTGCAGAGGTGGTCTGATACCCACAAGAATTTAATGTGGAAAGCTTCAGATGGACAAGAAGGAACACAGAATTCAGAAAGACTGACTGCAGCTGAACAGCTGGATTTAGGGCAGAGAAGTTGAGTTAGTTGGTCTTTCATGTGCCCACAATGAGAATTACCTGGATTGGAAACCTGCTCTGTACTGGTTATGTAGATATGAGCCTGCTTAGCTGAGATCTGTTCCTTAAAGAAACACAAACCCTGTTCAGCTTTCCATGGAAGACAAAGAAGTCATTGTGGTATGGAGGGTGTTGGGTAGGCACAGAAGAAATGAACCAAAAATGGATGCACCTATGACTTGTGTGAAACAGATGTCCATGTCCAGCTCCCACTGTGATGCAAAATCTATCTGGGACTGGAGGGATGAAAACTTTAGAGAAATTGCAAGGAAGACCTGTCCTCCAAAGACAGTATCCAACTTGTTCTAGTGGCAAGATCATATTTAGGATGACGTTCCACCACAGTTTCAGTGGAGACACATAGCAAAGAACCAGCCTGTGTGTGAACTGGAGACTCTCCTGTAAGAAGTTTAAAATGTTTATTATTTTTTAGGGTACCAAACTGATAACTGTTCTCCAACTAACACCTAGACTAAGAACATACACTAATAATGTTAAACAAAACTGCATAAAGAAGTTGAGAAAAAAAAATCAACATTAATTCTGTAATTCGTTACTGGGAAATACAAACACTTGGGATG